ACTTTAAACTTGGCGATTATGTTCTCTAAAAGGACATATGACAGAGTACTTGTAGGATAGGAGAGCAAAAAGCTTGACAAACTGTTTGAATATTGCGCATCGCGTGCAGCCTTAGCATGAGGAGCTTTGTCAAACACGCAAAGCTGGGCATATAATAACGACGCTCAGAATACATAAATATTTAATATGAAGTTAGGGTTTACAGCAAAGTCTCAGAAAACTCCAGAGTGAAGTGTAGGAGGAGAGGGGAGGTTCTACTCACCGAATGACCGCTCGCTCCTCCAGCAGCTGCTCGTGCAGACTTTTTCAGACCCGCCCTACTCTGCAAACTGGATGTGCTCTGGGGTTCGTTTGATTTGTTGAACGTAGCATCCCATTTAGAAATAGATGAGCGGCTTCAGTTGAGACCGCAACAGAAAATATTTTTTTCTCTCCGGATGGCGGAAATCCTTCTCGACAGAGAATTGGCAACCCTGCAGGTTGATCAAAAATTTACTACCAAGTCAAGTTCTGTTTGTTACCTTGTACTACCTTTCACTGGCCTTAATTTGAGCTCTTTTAATTTACTACCTTTTACCACCCCGCGGCAACCCTGGGATCGTTCGCGAACGTCACATCTCTATTAAAAACTGTTGTTCTTTTGAGGCCCTCAAGGTGGTGCATAGGTTAAGAATCTCTGATTTAAACCGTTTGTTTGTCAAGCTTTTGCTCTCCTATTCCTACTCTGTGCTCTGCTGCATGTCCTTTCGGAGAATACTGTAACAATGTAAGTGCCAAGTATAAACACCTTCACCACAGTTGAGGGTGCGCAGAAGGCTACAAACAGAAAAAATAATTATTCCTACCAAACAGTGAGCCACATTTGCAAAAAATGTTTATTTAGCTGATTTAGCTCCTTTTCCTCAGTTATTTTATTTTAATTATTTATTTATTTATTTATTTATTTTTATGCTGCACGTTAACAGGCCGGGTTTTGCCAGCCCGGGACCAATAAGGTTTTCAGTGCACTCCAATCTAACCTCCATTCTTCACCAAAATTTTAAAAAAATGCACCCAGGAAACAAAAAATGCCTAATTATGTATGGAATTCAGCCCATTCCTGTCCAAATCACAGATATGCATATTCGCATTGGATTAGTATTATCACAAGACCTCAGAGTTCAGCGAAATATAGTCATTTGCGAGGGAATTTTTACTTTACAAATGACTGATATGGCCGATTCACACGGGAATAACAACACAGACAAGCTCTGTAATTATTACAAATAGCATGGGGTGCCTAGGTAAAACTAATCCCGTCAGAAAAGCACATAAGATGAACTTTTTTTAATGACTTTAAACTGTTGGAAAATCTGGTTCTACATGCAGGAAACTTCAGATTTTGCAGACTCTCAAAACAATAAACTTCTCACCGTGTATTCAGATTCCTGAGTGGAAAAGGTCTCAGCTGTCAAGAAACGAGGTTGGGCAAAGATATTTTGTGCAAGTGGCCTGAAAAACAGACAAGAGATACAAATATGAACAAATCGTGATGTGAAAAATTCTTCAGTGATGAAAAACTTATGTTCTATCACAAAACAAATTGCAGTGAAAATGTTCATTTCAGTCGTTAAAAGAGGAACAAAAGATTCCTGTGGATACCTTGTCACAGGTTCTTCCATCCTCACTCTTTGTCACCTAAAAAAATAACAAGGCAACATTACTACTTTTTTCCCCTTATATATAATTGGACTTGGCTTCCCTCCATCAGTATTCTTTCTGTTTAGTTGCTCTAAAATCTGGAATTTAAATGGATTTTCAGTGTAATTATAAGTAATGGATCTATTCAAAATACTTCAGATGAATACAGTTCAATTGGAGAATCTCAGTGTTCCCCTACCGTTATACAGCCCCCCACCCCCACCCCCAAACGATACGGCCCGCCCCTCTAAGAATTTCACAGCATGTAGTCATTTTTATCTATATAAGGCAGGATCAAGTCGAGAGCTAGTTTCTTGCGTCCCTCCATATCCACCTCTCACCAAACTTGGGGGGAAAAGACGGCGCAGAGCGAGGCTGAACGCTGTGTGTGGTCCTCACAAAGATAGGTAGACGTGTGTGTTTAGACGTGCAGCTCTGCTTTTAATCACGTTGCACCGATGCGACAGCTTTACAATAATATAGTCCTGGTTAGAAGAGTCTAGGTGTTGTGGTTTTGGAGCTGGACCAGGTCTAGTGTGGTCCAGATGCACAAAAATGATTTAAAAAAAAATACTAAATTTGATGAAGTTTCAAAAATCAGGAAAAGTTTTCACAAATACCAAACTAAGCTTTAATTATTCTGTTATTAGTGAAGAACATTCTAGCCCAGGTTTGAAGAGTCTAGGTGTTGTGGTTTTGGAGCTGGACCAGGTCTAGTGTGGTCCAGATGCACAAAAATGATTTTAAAAAAATACTAAATTTGATGAAGTTTCAAAAATCAGGAAAAGTTTTCACAAATACCAAACTAAGCTTTAATTATTCTGTTATTAGTGAAGAACATTCTAGTCCAGGTTT